AGTGCCTGATCAAAAAGGGCCGATTTTGCCAAATATGGGGAAGCAAAATTTGAAGAAAATTTGAAGCGGAACACGTTGACGCCGAGCAACTGGAGGCGGCAAGGATGCGCAAGCAACCGTGAGCATCATTGTTATTCCACTGCTTAAGCGTGGGAAGCGAATACCTTCATGCTCTAGCGAACACCCACAGGGTTCTCCCCTTTCACGACATAATCATTCCCTGGTTTTACCGTTTCTCGTATTGTCTTTGAGGTAATTTCGAAATAATTATTATCTCCGATATTTTCGTGCTGGAATTTACACAACAAAAATCCAAAATCCAAAATATTGGTCGATGCAGCTAAAATGTCGGATTATATTATTTGCGAAAAAAATTATTCGTAACAGCATTAAATTATAAATCAAATATACATATATGTGTGTATGTGTGTGTGTGTGTGTGTGCGTGTGTGCGTGTGTGTGCGTGTGCGTGCGTGTGCGTGTATGTGTGTGTGTGTGTGTGTGTGTGTGTGTGTGTGTGTGTGTGTGTGTGTGCATTGTATATTTCTTCATCCGTATATTAAGTTAAAATTAATATATATATAAATCAATAATCGTGTATTATCTTACTGATAAGTGCATTCTAAAATAAAACATTCTAGAGTAGATATCAGGCAATTATGTAATAATTTAAAGTAAGGCATTCTGCTGCTCAAGCTATGCGAAATATCATGTTTGAAAAGACTGGCGTTAATGAGCATGTAGTCCAATGATGGTTCAGCATTTCCGTATCGGAGAGACGATCTGCAGAACTTCAGGCTATTCAACGGGACATCATCAATTTTTCAAAAACACGAACATTTAGAAATAAAGTATTTATGATTTAAAAAGACTTTAAACAATATATAAATTCGAATGAAAAATGATTTGAATAAATTATAATTATAAATTTTAAAAGTAATGAATTTTTATTTTTATTATGTATATAACAATATATAGACACATTGTTATATACATGAATTATTAAAAATAATGGATTCTTTACCTTTAAATTCCGACATTTTGACTTTAATCCAATATTATGCTATATTATATAGCATATTAATAATGTCCATCGACTATTCGTTGACCGAAACAATGATGTAATTTTTCATGTTTAGATATGCAAGGACCTAAAGATTACATATATCTAACAGAAAATTACTTACTTCCTTGTAATAAATTCTCTAAACAATTTTAGAAGTTTTATACTTTGTGCAAAAAGAGGATTTCCAAAGATAATATAATATCGGTCGCTGCGAGTTTATGTAAATAATTATTAGTGATATCAATTGATATCTCTGTCTCAACGATAAACGATAAATGATAATTTATAAATCAATTCTTTATTAATCATTTCAAATCCGATAAATCTCAAAATTAATGATAGATTTATATTTAAAAGAATTTTCTCGCAAATCGTTTGGACAATCACGAAAGTCGATCGTTTCATTAAGAAAAGTTGAATATACGCTTTTAATGGATTAATAGACATAGACGTATAAATGAAATTGAAAGGTCCTAAATGGGAAAGATTCCATGGTAGAGAAAAAAGAAAGAAAAGAAAAAGCCGTGGGAGACAAAGAGATAAATCAAGCATTCACCAGCTCGCTAATAATACTTTTAAATGATTTTTCTTTAAGCTTTATTTTCGAGAAACTTATAAAGTACGTGAAAAGAAATTGAAAGGAAATTCTGTCAGTTTCTTTGTAGAAACTTTAATTAAAAATAAAAAACTTAATTTGTTATATTTATTTATTATATTTGTATCAAGATATAGCAAATATAAAACTTCATATCTTGTATCGATCAATGATATTCATATCAACTATATATTTAGTTGTTCGATGAGTATAGTTTATGATTTTTATTATAATTGTGGTGATGAAAATGAGGCGATGAAAATGACATATAGCACTACTTGCGTTAACCTAACGGTCTTTCTCGCTTGAATGCACAAAAAATGGATGTTACGTGTACTCTTTGCAATGTTAACTATAATTCGTAACTGAACTTAAAATGTTTCTTCGCGCGCCAGTCGAGCGACGTCACGCTTAGTCGTCCATGAAAACGATTGCTAAGAATGTATCCTCAAATTTATCATACTATTTATATAAATAAGCACAAAAATTATTAGATATTACTTTTTTTCTTTTGTACTAGATTTATCTTTATTATTAAAAATCTTTATTTTTATTATTCATTATCATTATCTTTGTTATTAACCTTTATCTTTATGATTAATGTTCTTTATCTTTACTATTAAAAATCTTTATCTTTATTATTAGATATTCTCTAATTATTGACGAAGAATTGTCAAAATGGATAAGTAAAAATATTTAATAATTATCATTTTAAATACATTTTATCAGAATAATTGTACTTATAATGTCAAAATAGTTTTCAATATTAATCCTAATATAATTCTAATAATCCTAATAAATTTGTTAGAAGTATTAATTAGTCACTAAATATAAGTATTAAAAAAAAACACACACACACACACACACATTAACAAATGAGAATAATTATTTCACGCAACTATTGCTGATTTGGTATTTTTAACTTTTTATATGACAATCAATTCTATTAACAGAAATCTTTTAAAGTCGGAACAAAATAAATTCGTAACAAATTCTGATGTGACTAATATAATTTAAAGTCATGTTTGTTTTAAAAATATCAGCATACAATTGTGACATAGTCATAAATCAAATCTGCTTTATCTTACAATTACTTATAATTTATAATAATTATTCACATAATAAAAATCAATTATTAACATATTTTGCTACTCTGTAAAACTAATATTGTATGCCTACAAGAAAATTATTTTTGTTAACTATTTTTATTAATCTTTAATAAAATTTTTTAATCAAGAGAAAGTAATTTATTTCTAATTTTATTGTATGTTTCTTATTTTTACTTGCGATAGAAATTATAACTGCAACAAAAATATGATGATTATCTGATAATTCATTTTTTTACATCTTAATTGAGATTAACAGCATTGAGGGAGGTTCATGCTTGCGATAATCCAAGTTTATCACAGCCAGTGCCAGTGTAGTGAAAATTGATGATAACATTGTAAGGTATAGGTTTCTCGAAGTATCACGACAGTTACTGATTCGACGTATCTGACAACACATCAAAGATGGCAAAGCAAGTTCACACTTTTATAATCATCATTGTAGTAGTTACATCCACTATTTTATACTCAGGTACGAAATAAATTTTCGATGATTTATTTTATTATATTATTAATGTTGTAATTAACAAAGAATGAAAAGTTTTAAAAAAACATCATTTTATTATAATAAATTATGATCATTACAATAACATGTCGTATAATAATAAAAATTTTTCTTTTAATTAATAATGTAATTCTTAAATTTATTTTTCCAAACAGAAGAATATTAATATAAAATTATGAAACTATTGAAAATTTATTTGTCTCTTGTCTATCATATTTTCTTCTTTTTATTGTAGTACTTCCTGATTTAAATGAAATTTAGGGAAAAATATTTATGTTATAAAAGAAATTGTAGTAATTTTGCTTTTTTCACCATTAACAAATACATTAACAAAACGCAATGCCAATATACGTCTTGTGCTAATCAGTCTCCTATATAGTCTCTAATGCTTTATTTGTATTTATTTGCTTGTGCTTATTTCAGATGCGTCTTAAAAAATTTGACAATAAACGCTATCATTTTTTTCATATTTCATTATTTGATATTGTTACTTTATATATAAGGATAATAGTTATAAAGTCTTGATATCAATAAAAACTGTATAACATGATCATATAAAAATATTTTCGTTAACTTGTTCTTTTAAAGGAAGTGCATTGAAATGTTATCAATGCAACTCGCTGGAAAACAAGGACTGTTTAGAGGGTCCACTGCTAGATACAATGATTATAGAATGTAGATTACCATCAACGCCAACGAGCAGCAGCGCTCCACCAACGGGCAGCAGCGCTCCACCAACGGTCAGCGGTCCTCCACCAACGGCCAGCGGCCCTCCACCAACGGCCAGCGGTCCTCCACCAACGGGCAGCGGCGCTCCTCCAACGGGCAGCAACGCTCCATCAACGGGCAGCGGTGCTCCATCAACGGGCAGCGGCGCTCCACCAACGGGCAGCGGCCCCCCACCAACGGCCAGCGGCCCTCCACCAACGGCCAGTGACTCTCCACCAACGGCCAGCGGCACCCCATCAACGGCCAGCGACCCTCCACCAACGGCCAGCGACCCTCCACCAACGGCCAGCGGTCCTCCACCAACGGGCAGCGGCGCTCCACCAACGGGCAGCGGCGCACCTCCAACGGGCAGCCGCGCTCCGCCAACGGAGCGCCGCTGGCA